CGGCGGCGATTGGCCGGCCGCGGCGCCCGCTCCCAGAATGCAGCGCATGGCGCGTCATTGAAGAGAGACCATGATGGCGGCGGCGCTGGGGCCCCCAGAAGTGATCGCTCAGCTGGAGAACGCGGCTAAAGTTCTGATGGTGAGGACGCCGCGCCCCTCAGACCCCGGGATTCGCGGGCCCCCGGTCGGCCCTGCCACGCCAGGCCTTGCTGCTCTCTGGACTGGCGACTGGCAAGGGCCTCCAGGGAACCTGCAAGTGGAGGAGGAGGTGGCGGTGGCGTGGCGCAGGATTCTTCATCCTACTTTCCTCCTGCCGTCGTCCCCTCTTTCCAGGAGCTGTCCCCTTCCCCTGGCTGCCCAGCACCCCAGTCGGGCGTGGGAATATAGTGGTGTAGCAAAGAGGATTTCTTCACCTTACACCCTGCCCCACAGACTGGGTCGCAGAGCAAGGCGCTGGGAAGGAGGTTGGGGTTATCCCCGCAGGGCTTCGGTAGGGGGAATTTGTAGGGCTGTGTGCGCGCTCTTGGGGAGTTGGTGTCGGGAGGGAATGGATGGCACAGCCCTGGTGCGTTAGCAATCCTTGTTTCCTGTGCATTCGGATCCGCTAGCGTTTCCCTGACATGCAGCCACCTCTGGAGTAATTGCAGCCGGCAGCACGTGGAAGGGCCGGGCCGGCTGAGGGGAGGGAGGGGAATCGTTGAGACCAAGGTCACTGGGGCAAAACTTGGTCCAGTGCTAAGCTCCTTAAAGCTCCCGCGATTTGGAGAACTGAGTCTATGCTACTCTTTGACTTCATGCTTACACTACAATAAACAGTTTGATGAGGTTGTTTACTAAGGGAATTTGAGAAGGCCGAGTCAAAGGATAAAAGTATTACATGCAAGGAGGAGAAGTAAGGATAAAACTACGTTCAGTTACTCAGTAAACTGTATTTGCTGGCTCAGCTTTGTTTTTGTAAATTATGACTTCGGTGTTTGTAGATGTTTTGGGAAATTAGAGGTTCATTTTATAGGTGGATTGGTTCAGACTTTCTAAGAATTGGATGCAGCCAGCTTTGTTACCTTTTTGGACTTTTTTCCTTTTGTTTTGGTGTTAGGGTGTTTGAGCATCACATTTAAGAATATTCGAACTAATTCTAGCGTAGTTTGTAGTTCTGATATTTTACACCAGATATTTTTGTTTCTTTAGAAATCGAGAAGTCTAAAAGCAGGATTTACTTGCTTCATTATGAATATTAACTTAATGTACGTTTTGTCACAAAACAGACTAGTGAAAGTTTTCACACTTTTGCAAATTAAGCAGAAGTAACTAGCTAGTATTCCCCTTAATACAAGATTCTTAAAAATCCCTGACATGTAGCGTTTCGTAAAATTCCTGAACATTTTCCTAGGAGCTAGGGGCTCTGTTTTCATTAGATTCTGGAAGGAGTATGCCACCCAAAACACGGCTGTAGTTCTACATTCATCAGGTAAAATCAGTGTCCTTTGTCATTGGCTTAATAATATAAACTAGTATTTGTGCTTTCCAATATCTTCCCTCTTCCCTGGCAAAGCTACTTTTATCACCTATAAGGAGTAGGTGAGAAGAATAGTAGTAAGTACTGTTTATTGAGTGCTAGATATTGGACTTGATGCTTTACATACTTTACATATTTTATTAATCCTTGCCACAGCTTTACAAGGTTGAGAAAGTGTAAGTGGCCCAGTGAATTAGGTCTTGAACTCAGTTCTGTCTGGCTCTAAAGCTGTGTGTCTTTCCACTCTACCCCGTCTGTCATATGTTGTATAATAACTTGTCTAAATGCTTTTTATCTTTTCAGAGGAGAGGATTATTGAAAAAAGTGTTATGTTATTAAAAACAGGAAATTACAGCCGGGCGGGATGGCTCATTCCTGTAATCCCAGCACTTTGGGAGGCCGAGGTGGGCGGATGACTTGAGATCAGGAGCCCAAGACCAGCCTGGCCAACACAGTGAAGCCCCATCTCTGCTAAAAATACAAAAATTAGCCAGGCATGATGGCTGGCGCCTTTAATCCTAGCTACTCTGGAGGCGAAGACAGGAGAATCACTTGAACCGGGAGGCAGAGGTTGCAGTGAGCCGAGATTGTGCTGCTGCACTCCAGTCTGGGCGACAGAGTGAGACTTCGTCTCAAAAAAAAAAAGGAAATGACATTTTGGAAATTTCCACTTAAGTATTCAGAAATTTGTACCAAAGATGTGTAGAGTAGTTATTGTATTATTTCTTAATATGAAAGCTGTATTCCAAATTATTATTAATAGCTCTCATTTATTGAGTCCATACTATGTTCGAGGCACTGTGCCCGGCACTTTACATATATCACTTTCTCTCCAGTCAGTCTGTGAGGAAGGTGTTATTACTTTAATCTTATTATTTTTTATTTTTGTTTTTATGAGACGGAATCTCGCTCTGTCGCCCAGGCTGGAGTGCAGTGGCGCCATCTCCGCTCACTGCAAGCTCCGCCTCCCGGGTTCACGCCATTCTCCTGCCTCAGCCTCCGGAGTAGCTGGGACTGCAGGCGCCTGCCTCCACGCTCGGCTAATTTTTTTTGTATTTTTACTGGAGACGTGGTTTCACCGTGTTTGCCAGGCTGGTCTCGATTTCCTGACCTCGTGATCCACCTGCCTTGGCCTCCCAAAGTGCTGGGATTACTGGCATGAGCCACCGCGCCCGGCTTTTTTTTTTTTTTGATACTGAGTCTGGCTCTGTTGCCCAGGCTGGAGTGCGGTGGCACAGTCTTGGCTCACTGCCACCTCCGCCTCCCGGGTTCAAGCGATTCTCCTGTCTCAGCCTCCTGAGTAGCTGGGACTACAGGTGTGTACCACCACACCCGGCTAATTTTGTATTTTTAATAGAGACAGAGTTTCACCATGTTGGCCAGGCTGGTCTCAAACTCCTGACCTCGTGATCCACCCTTCTCGGCCTCCCAAAGTGCTGGGATTACAGGCGTGAGCCCCCGTGCCTGGCCTGTTACTTTCGTTTTCATTTTACAGGCTAAGGAAACTCAAAACGTGGAGATGCTAAGTAATCTACACACATTTACATAGCAAGGGGTAGAGACTCAAACTCTGGTTTGTCTGTTACCAGTCTGTGGTTCTTAAGCTGTAGGATACTGGGACCAGAAAGGAGGTGAATTAATTTTTCTAGGGCTAAAGTTGTTAATGCTCTTTCAATTATTAAGCATTAAGATACATATTTTAAACAGAGTGATCTTAGCATTTATCCATCTGTGGGTCTGAATAAATCTTATGGAAAATTGCTGTATTTTAACTGTTAATATGCTTTGAGATTCAAAATGCAAATAGTGATATATTTTGTAATTATTTTTGCTTAATTTTTTATTAGGTAACTCATATAGTTGTTTTATGGAAACCAGCATAGAATTTTAGAACATAGAAGAATCTTAGATCTTTTAGTACAGAGGTCTTAGGGAGTCTAGGATGAATATCAGAAGGAAATTGTAACAAATTTTTTGATGTAAGCATATATTTTTAGTAATAGGGTCTAGAGCTTTTATCACCGTCTCTGAGAGACTAGAAACTCTGAAAAATAAGAACCGAGTCTAAGCATTCTCTCTTCCATGCTACAGATGGGGAAACTGAGGTTCAAAGAGATAGAAGTGACTTGCCCAAGGCAGGTCACAGAGCAAATTCGTGATATAACTGATCCAGGCTGAGATCACCAGACTCCCCTTTCAGAAGTTTTACTGGTTTTGTTTTTTTTTTTCTTACTTTTTTTACTGAACCATGTTGGTTCTCAGTCAACATATACTATAAATGTTGCATTTTATTACTTGATGGAAAATGTCTAAATATGGTACATCTATAGTCAAACAATTTAGGTTATTGGATAAGCTGCCAGATAAAGTAGTACAGTCGTCCCTCGGTATCCATGAGAAGTTAGTTCCAGAAGCCACCTCCACCCATGGACATCAACTGTGCATTGATACTTAAGTCCCCCCGACCCCCTCCCTTTTCGCATGATCAAAGCTCATGGCAGCCTTGAATGGGTAATTAAAAAAAATCTTTTTTTTTTTGTAGAGAGAGGATGTCACTATGTTGCCCAGGCTAGTCTTGAACTCAAGTGATACTCTTGCCTTGGCCTCCTAAAGTGCTGGGATTATAGGCATAAGCTACTGTGCCGGCTGAGTTTCTTGTATGATATGGCATGGCAGTTGTGTATGACCTATGCACTTCCTCTTGTATACTGAAACGTAGGAGGTGTTTTGATTTTAGAGACAACAGTATTGAAAAGTTTAGTGTTCTCACAGTATTGATGCCACATTCATTTGAAGTCTAAAGAGCCCTTTATTTATTGTCTTGAATTTACCTGGTTTTGTCTCCCTGTCTTCATTAGGTTGTTTTGGATTGTCCTTAGTGATTGTGTGTAACAATAAGATAGTGCAGAGCACACATACCAACTGATACATTATGGAAAAGTAGTTTTCATAGGTTTTTTTCCCTTTTTTTTTCTTTTGAGACAGAGTCTTACTCTGTTGCCCAGGCTGGAGTGCAATGATGCAATCTCAGCTCACTGTAACCTCTGCCTCCCAGGTTTAAGTGGTTCTCCTGCCTCAGCCTCCCAAGTAGCTGAGATTGCGGGTGCCGGACACCATGCCTGGGTAATTTTTGTATTTTTAGTAGAGACGAGGTTTCAACATGTTTTCTGGGCTGGTCTCGAACTCCTGACCTTAGGTGATCCTCCTACCTTGGTCTCCCAAAGTGCTGGGATTAACAGGCATGAGCCGCCGCGCCCGGCACATACATTGGTTTTTAAACCAGGATGGATTTAGTGAGTGTAAATCCAACTTTAATAAACGAGATTCATGACTGGTTTTCATAGATTTTATTGTAGTGGAATTTGGTTAATATTTTCTAAAATGCTTGCACATCTGTAGTCCTATAGAAAAAAATTTGTCTTACTTGATTCTCATATCAGTCCTGTGAAGTAAATAGGATGAGATATTCCTAAACCTTATAAAGGAGAAAACCTGGCCAGGCGTGGTGGCTCACACTTGTAATGCTAACACTTTGGGAGGCTGAAGTGGGTAGATCACCTGAGGTCAGGAGTTTGAGACCAGCCTGGCCAACATGGTGAAACCATACCTCTACTAAAAATACA